GGTTTCTCATAGGTGATAGGGCTGTAGTAACACAGGGCTGTCGTAACATAGGGCTTGAACCAGGTGAAGTACTAGTACGTTCTGTCGACGTGCTCCCTACTACACTACCTAAGGCGGACGAATGAATGAATGAACGAACGAACGAATGAACGAATGGATGAATGGATTACTATAGAGACTATAGCCAAAACACAGAAGATAGCATCATCGCAAATCAGTTTTACAGGTAACAAAGCCAAAGGCTGAGATTATTACAGAGTGTTGAACGAAAAAATAAACAATGGCATGAATATAACGTTACACGGATTATGATCATTTTTAACGTTTTGTGTGTTTTCTATCTTTTATATCATACTTCTCGTTCCAGCAAACTGCAATGCCGCGCTGCAGCTTGGAAATGTAATCTTAGCACAAATCTGCGGAATCAAATCGGGTTTAAAACTATCAACAGCGTAACGTACATCGTACCGCTATGAATATGATCAGCGACATAACATCAGTTTCAGTTTATTACGATACCCTTTAGCCCGTTAGAACTAATCTTCCAGGGCTCATTACACATGATTACACACACAGTACAAATATTCACATATGACTACAAATTTGCATACACGTTGCCTGAACGAACAAATTATCGGCTAAGTATAAAACTAATATTCCATTACTATATTAAAAAGATTTCAATATAACAACTATCATCATAATTAAAAACCATTAAGTTGCATACATATACAATTGCTCGGTCAATCTCTTCAACCGCCTCTCATCGGATACAGTTAACCTCATTTTGTAGTGCATTCCACAGCTTTACACATCTGTAGGTAAACATCTTCTTTCCACTGTTATTCTTTGGTTTCGTTAATGAATAATTGTACACTGAAAGCGCACTGCACCGATGAACGTGCATTGCATATCCACGCTCCACGTGTCGTCAACAGCTACAAGCGTTGACCGATAGTAACCTTTCCCGCTAATCCCGGGGAAGTAAATTACTATGAGCGTTGACCTGATGTGACCTTAAGTTCACCAACATGACCTGAAATAACCTCAACGGGCCTACATTTCTATGTGGGGACGTGACTGACTCGAACACATGACCCTAAACGACCTTGTGTATAATAGGTCGTTGACTTTGGAAGCACGACTGCTATTCTGCTATGGTTCGGGCATCGCCGTGTACGCAAATGAGTATGTACAATTCTCCGAAGAACAAGTCCTAGTAGTATAGTCACGATAAGTCACGATTCAGCCAGATAGAAATGAAGACCGAGTGAGTTTTTCTTTTGTTCATGTACAATTTTGTATTCGTACGTGCATTGTGTGTGCAAATAATAAACAGCGCAATATAGGGCGGTACATGACATTGTCAGCACATTGTTGATGTGTATTTCTGCAATGTTGTTCCAAATGAATAAAGCCATTGATTGAGGCCATAGAATATGCCCTCGTCATGCTGTCGAGCCAGAGAATCTTTTTTTCCGCAAAAAAAAAAAATAAATAAATAAAAAAGAAATTTCAAGCAAAATTCGGAAACGAAGTGAACGGTCGGACTCTCGAAGCGTGATAAAACTGAAATGGCGCATTCATTCCCGCACCACATTTTGGGACACGCGTCCGTTCTTTGCCACTGATATGATCAGACGCCAGACCTTGGAAAATTGCCGAAGGGGTGTATGCATGCTCACACGTCTACACACACACACACACACACACACAACGTATCTTCTGAACAGGGTTCTGTGAATGTTAGACTACTGAATGATTCGAATACTTCCTGATTGTGCAGCACAGAGGACTTTTTAAAAATTTGAATTGTTGTTAAATGCTGTTTGTAAATATGACTACTACAAACAAATAAACCATCATATTGTAAATATGACTACTATAAACAAATAAACCATTCATTCATGCAATGTCTGACACCCATGGGCTAAAAATAGGACCTCATCTGTGAATGTGCATACACTTGACGGGGTATGTGAACCAACAGGATATTGCCTCACTTTTGTACACAAAGCCTTACCCTCTACGTACCAGGCATCAGAAGTGGATTGAAAGAAGAGAAATTGGCCACATGGACATATAGCAAACCAGGGGAGTTGGTCTACTAAAAGGAGTAAAATTTGCCTCTCCCTTGTTACTTTATCCGTCCATGTGGCCAATTTCTACTCTTTTCAGTCGCTTCTGAAGCCTGGTAGAGGCTACACAAAGCCCGTCTAACTAGTAGCATCACTAATACCGAACAGCGCATCCTTTACTGTGTTTTATCCCCTCCTACTCAAGACTTCGGCTGGTTCCGAGCGCTGACGAAAGGGCCATATCATTTCACGCCCGTCTTCCTGCAAGTGCATTATGGGAAGCGTAAATCACGAAAAAAAAAACAACTTAAATCACGAAAAAAACGCATGCCATGAAGTAACGTTACATTATTGCGTGCATTCATAACAGTCCCAAATTGCGTGACAGGCGCTTTGAGGTAATTCTCAATTGTCTATTACAGTATGACACACAACAAAACCTCCAGTAAAATAGCGGCAAGATCGAGTCTATCCGGCCATCCAGAATCAGAAAGATGAGCGTTCAGCACCAAGGACATTTCCAACGAGACACACGGAGAGATTCGTGTACACGGAAAATATGAACCTTGTCGTTTCAAAACGGTATCCAAATAACAAGACATATCAGTCCGTCGACATTTCAATCCTTAAATTTTCACCACCCCTCCGCCAGATAGTATTCTACCTTTGATGTGCAAAATGTTTTAGAAGTTCGCTTTTAGTCTTTGTAGATTTCTGATTCAGTGCTAACGTTACATATACGCTCGAAATTAACGGATTGATATGCTTTTTTACATGTCAATCAGATTACAATTAAGACCAGGGTTAACTCTCAAGTTTCGTTTAACAAAAGATAAAGCAAAACTTTGCAAGTTAAGTGCTGGGGTGAGGGCTATTCCATTTAGATCGGGGGGGAAGGGAAGGCGTACAATTACCTCAGTCTGACAATATTAACCACGGTCAAATCCTAACTTATTAACTTTATCAGCATTTCATTTTTGTTTCACTAAAATATAGACTTCCATAGAGGCATTTTCTGCATTAAAAAATTCTTCTATCATGCGCCTTGCACACCACTCCCCGTTTACTAAATGGAATAGTCCAAGGTCGAAACTTTGTGGGTTCAGAGTTCAGCGACTAAGTTTGTTTTGTGGCATGTCCGGGGTGATGTTGTTATGTGATGGCTCGCTCGTCTAGTTCGCGTTTCTCTGGCACGTTCTTCCACCGTCTGTTGTCCTGGGTTCCTCGGATCCTACTCGTTTGTGCGCTCGTCCTTGTGTTGTTGCTGCTATGGCCCACGCATCCTACTTCTAGACGTTTGTTAGACGTCAAACTTTGGTGTTTTCTGTCACCTACAAGGTAATATGAACTGTTTTATCCATGCCAGAAACCTTTTTTATGATCCAGTATTATCATACAAAAGGTTACCGAGTCACCACGGCTAGCCAGAAACCGTGCTTTATCCAGAAACATGTTCACTTAGCACAGTTCAGAACCGTGCCTGGAGCAAATGTAGACTATCCAGAACCGTACCTAACCCTTATCCTAGCCCATTCGGGCATAGAGCTATAACTAGATACATGTAGCTGCGTGGCAGGTGCTTTGAGCAGGTAATTCTCAATTGTCTATTACAGTATTACAATTCTCAATTGTTTATTACAGTATCACAGTCTATTACATACTAGTAACGTTACGCCAAAAAGCAGTTACTCAAGCAACTGGATATGATTTTGAAAATGTCAGATTTTGATGACGTTTGCAAAATCATATCCAGTTGCTTGAGTAACTGCTTTTTGGCGTATTGTATTACCTGGATGTCTAACCTTCATCGACATACTAGTAGTTACATAATGACAACCTGGCAAACGTGACTTGTTGGTGGTCCCTTAGAATAGATTTTTCTAATGTTCCTCACTGACACAAGCATTAAAAATACTATATAAAGCAACCAGCCTTTCACATAAACCATATTTTACTGTAGGTTTGACTGTAATTTTAAAAACCAACAGCCAAACTTTTAATACCCTGCTTTGCTTCCAGATGTTTCTACCCAAAAGCACAGTCCGGCAGCGGCAAGCCCAACATAGTCTTCATCCTGGCAGATGACTACGGTTGGAACGACATCGGCTACCATGGCTCGGTGATCCGCACTCCTAACTTGGACAGGTAAACTGTGTGTGAACAGGATATGTCAACAATTGAACAGAACATGTCAACAATGCTGCATCTGATAGAACTCGCATGAAGTGTTTTGTTTTCTTGAACAGCAATAGACTGTGAAGTTTGATTGATAAATTATTCATTGTACAATGTAGTACTAAGTTATAGCTACGTAATGCAACAGACTTATCTTATGGATAATGCAAGTGTTACAAGTAAAATATGTAATATACAAAATGCTGTTATTCATATTCTTGGCATAGGTATGATTTAAAATCCATTACCAACAAAATGGTATAAATTCATTTACTTCCACTGTGCAGGTTTTATTTTGCAGCAGGAGAGAAAAAGAGTTTTTAGTGGTGTTTTAAATTTGTGTTTGACATAATTCTGTCTTAGACCTAACATAATAATATTGAAACAGTTCTGAAGTACTGAAGTAATATATTGGAAACACATATCACAATGCCGCAAAGACAAAGCCACTGCAAACCATTCAGGATGTAGTGTCATGATGTAAACAAGTTTTATTGCAAATTCATGCCCGAGGGCTAATTGCAGGAACAGAAGAAACATTTTGGTATAAAAACAGACAATTAGTACACATGGAACTACTGATAACTACTAAGAAACTACTAGTAAAAACTACTGGGTTTGACTTCTTTTTTGAAGACAGAGGAAGACAAAGGATCCCACTTTTCTGTAATTTGTGGGTTTTCCGGATGTTAAGAGAAGAGTAGTTTTCATTTGTATATGTGACAAATCCTTGTTGTTGTTTGTGTCAGACTGGCAGGTGAAGGGGTGAAGTTGGAGAACTACTACGTCCAGCCCCTCTGTAGTCCCTCCAGGTGCCAGCTCATGACAGGAAGGTATCAGGTAACAACTGTAGCATCAGTAGTACTTTCCAGACTGTGCATGATGTACAAAATTAATGATAAACTGGTGGATGTACCAACCACTAATATGTATTTGTTTTAGCCTCGAGCTCATAGTGAGAGAGATTTTGAAAAAGTTGCAAAAAACATGACATATTGTGCTTAATAGAGAGAGAGTAAGACCTCGGGTTATTTCTCCTGTTCTCAGATCCATTACGGTCTCCAGCACAGCATCATCTGGCATCCCCAGCCCAGCGGTCTCCCTCTGGATGAAGTGACTCTCCCCCAGCGGCTGAAGGACAGCGGATACTCCACTCACATTGTGGGCAAGTGGCACCTGGGCTTCTATAAGGAGGAGTACACACCCACACACAGGGGCTTCCACACATTCTATGGTCAGTACAAATTTCATCTCTACACATGACATTGTATAATACAGATAGTTTTAGGCTTGTTGTTGCAACTTTCTATAATTGCATAGGGACCTTATGTATAGGTCAGGTCACTTGTACAGTTGTCACTATTATATCAATGGCCATGTAGTCCTTATGTAGCAGTGGTCATTTAATAGCACAGGCTTTACCATATATCACTGGACAAGTGGCCGTTATGTAGAGGTGGTTAGTAGTACAGGTTTGACTGTATATCACTGGCCAGGTGGTCATGATCACAAGTACAGGTACAGGTTTGGCTGTAGTGTGATTAAATATTCCTGCTATTGAATTCCTGTTGGTTGTCCAGGCTACTTGACTGGAGCTGAAGACTACTGGACACACCGGCAGAAGGGCGGCTTGCCAGGCCAGCCGCTGACATGGAGCGGGCTGGACCTGCGGGACCAGGACAAGCCGGTCCTGGACCAGAACGGAACTTACGCTACACATCTGTTTGCAGATAAAGCCATAGAGATCATCGCACAACATGACAAGAACAAGGTTAGCTAATCCTTAAATGTGTAACAGGGTGCACTAGTCACTCCTCTGTGTCATTATTGTGTACAGTCAAACTTGTCCAAGAAGACCACTTGGGACAGGTAAAAATCTGGGTTGTGTGGACAGGTGATCACTGTAGATAGGACTCCTGATTCTTGTCATCGGGAAAAATTATCTGAGGGACCACAAAAACTGGGCACATTGGACAGGTGGTCCTTATGAACAGGTGGTCATTGTACAGGTTTGACAGTATTTTAAATTAGTTTCTGGCACATTCTAAAATATCTTATTTTCTCTATATGTAAAATTTTAACTCCAAACTGCTTTTTACTCCTGTCAGCCTTTGTTCCTGTTCCTGCCCTTGCAAGCTGTCCACGACCCTCTCCAAGCACCAGAGGAGTTCATCAGTCCGTACAGCCACATCGAGGACCCCGAGAGGAGAGTATACGCTGCCATGGCAACAGTCATGGACCAGGCGGTGGGAAACGTGACCGACGCCCTGCAGCGTTATGGACTGTGGGACAACACTGTGCTTATTTTCTCTACTGGTGAGTGAAATAGACTTCTCGTGACTTTTGCTGTCCAGTCTGTCCTGAGCGACTGTGGGAGCGGACATGAACTAACCAGGATGGTACCCAGGCTATTTGCTCTCAACTGCTCCCCAACAAAAGCTAAAGCAGTGGCTTGGGAGCTAGTAGCCCCAAAATCCAACCTATTCTGGCTCCAGTTTCTTTTTCTGATCACGTCCAAGCAGAACTTGACTTTTCTGAATTTCTCAAAATCTATAAATTTGACTTGCAAATACAATACATGTTTTATATCTGACTAGTAGGCAACCCCGCTGACCAACTGCCTACCACAGATGACCTTGCTCTACTCTCCAAGCAGAGGTTGGTGAGCAAAATTGTGTTCTTTCCAATATGCCCAGTCTTCCTGTCACTACCCTCACAAACAGTGAAAAAATTGGACATATTACTTAGAACAGTTACAATCTTCCCCACCAACCTGTGCTTGGAGAGTACTTGCTTATGCCTAACTGATGAAAGATAGTGGAATAGCTATCTGAAATGACTCTTTGAGAATTAATTTATCCAGTTGCATGATTCATCATGTAATGCTTTTTAAATTAATCTTTAATGATCCAGCGTCTTCTCTGACTCTTTCTTTCTCGCTGATTGCAGTTTCCAAACTGTTTTCTGTTCTTCAGACAACGGCGGTCGGGTGGACCGAGGAGGTAACAACTGGCCCCTGAGGGGGTGGAAGGGCTCACTCTGGGAAGGGGGGGTCCGCGGGGTCGGCTTTGTGAACAGCCCGCTGATCAAAGCGAAAGGCCGGACCAGCGACGCTCTGATCCACATCTCTGATTGGTTCCCTACTCTGGTGGGGCTCGCTGGCGGCTCAACCAATGGGACAAAGCCGCTGGACAGCCACGACGTCTGGGAAGCCATCAGGTATCTTGAGTTTTAATTGTCATAATTATGATTGTATAGTGTACTGTTGTGTACATGTTGTGTAACTATGTACTTTGTACTATGTAGTAGTCTGGTTTACTACAGACACATCAAACACTGATGAACACTCTGGGTTTTGAATTGGAAGATATTTTAATACTCCTCAATAAACTATTGATCAATGATGGATATTTGTTATGTAGAACCTACATTATATCGTAAATGTATTTACTATTGTGGCGGTTTTACTATGATGTTACAATGAAGGTTTTAAATTTCAGGTGTTCACGATGTGAAGATTTCGTCAGATCAGGATACCACAAAAAATGTCAAAAAGAAAACCCTCACAAAAGTAGTAAAACCACCACAAAAGTAAGTGCATTTACAGTAGAACGTACATGTATTGTTGCTGTGTTATTGCAGTGAAGGAAAACCATCACCCAGGAAGGAGATTCTCCACAACATCGACCCCATGTTCAACACTGTCAACACTCCACAGCCTCACCAGTGGGAGGGCCACATGTTTAACACATCTGTCCACGCTGCCATCCGCTCAGGCGACTGGAAACTTCTCACGGGAGACCCAGGTACGAGCCTGACTACATCACATGCTTCCAGCAGCCCTTCCACTGGTCAGGCCCCAGTAGCCTGACAACACTGCACTTCTAACAGTCTTTATTGGTCAGGCCCCCTGAAGCTTGATATATACATGTACATGTATACACAATCTAAGTCAGGAAAATCTTAATCCAGTTGATGAATGCATATGTGCTAAAATGCATAATACATTTACAACTTAGAATATAATACTGACAATGACAATAGTGCTTTAAGTACAATATGAATCAATTTTGCAAACACCTGTCTTTGAGTTGCCTTATTGTTAACATCTGGATACTAGTAATCTTTCTCTCCTTTCACGTATTAGGACACGCATCATGGGTACCACCACCGTCATCTAACCAACCCTGGGAAAAACCGAAAGACCCACCCGGCAAACACCTCTGGCTGTTCAACATCCGTGAAGACCCAGAGGAGAGAACAGACCTGTCACAAGAACATCCCCAGGTTGTGCAGGAACTGTTGGAGAAGCTGTCCGGGTACAACAGGACGGCGGTGCCTGTGTTTTACCCTGCCTTCGACCCTCAGGCGAACCCGGCATTACATGGGGACGTGTGGGGACCATGGAGGTGATCGAGTGACAACAGACCTCGGCTTTTCCAAGACTGTGTTACAGTATCTAGAGGCCTGACCCGTGGAAGGGCTGCTAGAAGCATGATGTAGTCAGTCTAGGGTCCTGAACAGTGGAAGGGCTGCTAGAAGCATGACGTAGCTAGGCTAGGGTCCTGAGCAGTGGAAAGGCTACTAGAACTTAGTAGTAGAATTGTGATGTAGTCAGGCTAGGGGCCTGGCCAGTGGAAATGCTGCTAAAAGTGTGATGTAGTCAGGCTAGGGCCTGGCCAGTGGAAAGGCTGCTAAAAGTGTTATGTAGTCAGGCTAGGGGCCTGACCAGTGGAAGGGCTGCTAAAAGTGCAATATGGTCTGACTACATTTTTCCTGCTGCTATTATTATGGGTTCACCACACCACGAAGTGGTGTGGTGAAACCATATTGCTTTTTCTGATGTTTCTTCTTCTCCTTCTCCTCCTGCCATATCTTTAAATGGATTCAGCTTCTTCATTATAGGGCCTAAGGTCCTGAAATTTGGTATGGAGGTACAGTGGGCAAATACCCCTAGGCGTTTTTTAAATTATTGTGATACAGGCTTTTAGAATGGTTTTATTTGAGTTTTTTGGCTGTGTAATAGCTAATGTATTACTGTGTAAGTGTGCAGTGTTTACCACATTTGGACATGAGTCATCACAATGGCATGCAAGGCATCAACCAATAGGCATGCAGCTTTCCTCTATTCTCCTTGCTGATTGGCTGTTGGGATTTAACTGGCTTAACTTCATTTACACCTGCACAGAGCATTTCCATACTGACAGTATGTCTGTATTCAAGTGTTTTGGTAGGTATTTTAAGCTTTCCTGCTCCAGCATTGGAATGCGGGCTATGAACGCTTCTTTTTATCTTGAAAATCAACAGTTTGCATTATGCAATCCTAACCAATAATGTAGGGAATAGCTATCCAACTGTTGTAGTCTTAGTTGTATGTTACTTCATACTATAGTTATATCAATGTAAAGCATTGTTTTCCCTTGTGTTTCTCATTCTTTCCCTGCCATGTGGTAAAATGTGGTGAACCCATCGCTATATTTGCTCCAAAGCAAATATTGACCTTTCTAGTTTATGTTGCTATTTACTAAGGATTAGTCCATTCCATGTATTGACCTTACCTCCTACCTTTATGATGGGAAGAGGTTTTTGGATTTCTGATACTAGTATCCAGCAAATGATGTTCTTTGGCTGCAGTACCACTGCCATTCACTGGATGGCACTTCAGTACTGCCATCTGGACAAGCCTGGCTTCACCTAATGAAAAGGGGGAAGTTATTCCAGGACAACCTATGGATGATGTTTAGTCTGATGGACACAGTACTGCATACAGTATAGTTTAAATGTATTATTTATTTCAGGGACTTAATTTTGTGTTAAGGGAAAATAGGTTTTTACTCTAACAGTGTTCAAAGCTCATGGTTGAAAGAATTCTGCAGTTCAGCAGCAATGTAATAGATACATATATTTGCTGTCAATTCCCACTGCAAAAATAAAACCATGCCAAACATGTCAAGATTTACAGTAATGTTTGAGACACTGTCCTTGGTGCTGAACTGCTGATTGTACTAGGAGGAAACCATGACGGCATGGAGAAGTAGGATATGCAGATTAAACAATGAAAGAAAATGCTTTTAGTATAGAATCTTTATCTTGAAAGCTTCAGATTGTGCACACACTACTGCTATTTCTTGACTGATAGTAAACACACACGTTAACAGTTCAGTAGGGGTGATTTCGGGCTCTTGTATTGTTTTCAAATGAAAGACTAAAAAATATACACATTTCCTGTTCTAAATTATAAATCATCACGAAAGGCAATGACATGACAGACTTTTCAAACTGACTTGTCAAAAGCAGATCATCAAAATCCTTTTATTATGGGTTCACCACACCACGAAGTGGTGTGGTGAAACCATATTGCTTTTTCTGATGTTTCTTCTCCTTCTCCTCCTCCTCCTCCTGCCATATCTTTAAATGGATTCAGCTTCTTCATTTTAGGGCCTAAGGTCCTGAAATTTGGTATGGAGGTACAGTGGGCAAATACCCCTAGGCGTTTTTTAAATTATTGTGATACAGGCTTTTAGAATGGTTTTATTTGAGTTTTTTTGGCTGTGTTATAGCAAATGTATTACTGTGTTAGTCTGCCTTGTTTACCACGTTTGGGCATGAGTCATCAGAATGGAATGCAGGGCATCAACCAATAGGCATGCAGCTTTCCTCTATACTTCTTGCTGATTGGCTGTTGGGATTTAACTTGATTAACACCTGCACAGAAGCATTTCCATACTGACAGTATGTCTGTATTCAAGTGTTTTGGTAGGTATTTCAAGCTTTCCTGCTCCAGCATTGGAATGCGGGCATGAACGTTTTTTTTTATTTTGAAAATCAACAGTTTGCATTATGCAATTAAAAATCCTAACCAATAAAGTAGGGAATAGCTATCCAACTGTTGTTTTAGTTGTATTTTACTTCATATTATAGTTATATCAATGTAAATCATTGTTTTCCCTTGTGTTTCCCATTCTTTCCCTGCCATGTCGTAAAATGTGGTGAACCCATCGCTGTATTTGCTCCAAAGCAAATATTGGCCTTTCTAGTTGTTATTCTTTTATCCTCTATTAAATCTTCAAAAGTAACAGTGTAAGCACAATGCTAGACTATTTAGTACTACTTAGTAGTACAGGTCACAGACTGTGGATTCTCCTCCCATGTTGGTGTCACAGGCTGAAAAGTTTCTAAACGGGAACTATGCAGCTCCAGGTGTCTTACTGAGGGATGACTGCGTGTGCGAGATGTTGGTTAGCTTGAGGAATGAATCCACTCTACTATATACCCCTCTCATGTTGGCCTTTGGTCTGCCAGCTTAAAGAAATCAGAGTCTTTGAACTAGAGACTTTCATTATCACACTTTGCATGATTCAAACTGTGATAAAAGTCAACCATCAACATTGATAGCTGTTTTATTCTGCAAAATATGATAGGCCTTATACAGACCCTATTGGTGACAATTGTGTTGTACAATATGAAAATATTCTAACAAAAGGAAAGGAAATACTGTAACATCTGAACCTTAAACAACTTTTCTCACATAATCTCATAAACATATATAAGTGACTTGTCAGTTTTAAGTACAATCTAATATACTGTAATCTTGTATGAAATTGCATAAAAGGTATATTGCTCCAACATACAAGAGACCTTATTGCAATGAAGAGGTAAGAGAGGCTGTTGCTCTGAGTGACAATAACAAAAAAATATCACCATGACATATACATGTAACTATATGATAATACTTCAGATTTTCAACAACCAATATTGCTTACAATACTTCTCTTGTGTATACTTTGCATCAGTATTAATAAAAAGGTTTTGAGTACCCACTATTGCTTACAATACTTTGTGTTGTATCTTTTCAGCTCCATTGTTTAAAAATAGCTAAGGACTTTGCAACAGTACTAGTAAAATACTGAAAGGTTTTGAGTATCCAATAATTTGTGTATGTTTTCAGCTCCATTGCTTTCCCCTCATCCCACCATTTTTCCTAAAAAATATCAGATATTGTAAAGTTCTTGCATCAGTGCAGTTTGACCTTCACTGCCAAGGTGACCACACGTCCCCATGTAGGGCAGGGTTTGCCCTGGGGTCGCGGTCTGGGTAAAATGGCGGCACTGCGGTCTTCTTGTACGCAGCCAGCTTCTCCAACAGTTCCTGCACCACCAGGGGGTATTTCTTGGACAGGTCTGTTCTCTCCTCTGGATCCTCCCGGATGTTGAACAGCCAGAGGTGTTTGCCTGGCGGGTCGTCCGATTCTTCGCAGATCTGGTCTGATGATGGCGGCGGCATCCATGAGCCATTTCCTGTTGGGAAAAGATATCATAATCATCAGTCATGTAGGATCTGTGAGGGTCTGTATGGGAAGACACTAAAGGCGATATTAATAAGAGAAACAAACAAACAAAATGGATAACTATAATTATGGTAAATTGACTTGTTCTTTGTGAAGTGTTTTAGGAATCCAGTGGTAGAGTTTGAATTTCCCATGAGTATTTTAGGAATTAATTCATTGGATTGTTACACTTTTAAGGACGTCCTTCCAGATAAAGCTGAATAGAAGACCTCATTTTTGAGGTGAGCCACACTTTGAGCACGTTAAACATTCCACCACACTAGTCTTATAGAAATGACTTACAGTCCGGTCCTATGCAGCTTTTACCTACTGACAGGTACAAAACTGGTGTTTTCTATACGTTTATTGGTATAGCCAGTATAACTGCCCTTCGGCATAACACACCAGCTTCACAGGCATGCTGTGCGGCAGCAGCTGGCTACATTACACCTAACGACTTGTTACACCTAACCCTTGAACCGCTTTTATGACTGAAAGCAGTCTACCATTTACCAGTGATGCAAAACGAACAAACGTTTTGATGTACCTGGGTAGCCTGTGAGGAGTTTCCAGTCTCCTGAGCGGATGGCTGCGTGCATGGAGGTGTTGAAGGTGTTGTCACCCCACTGGTGGGGAGGCAGGTAGTAGATGGTGCGGAACAGAGGGTCAATGTTGTGGAGGATCTCCTTTCTCGGGGAGGGCTTTCCTTCACTTCACACAGTGCAGGGAAGAGAAGTGTGAGGCGTTAGCTTTTTTTCAGATTTTATTGGCCAAACTATTACAAATAGATAGCATAAAATCCTACAGATATCTGCATCATTAGCGATAAAGTACATCATAAAAACTTGCGTGAATGAAAAATAAACAATTCATACCAAGAGTATATATATATATATACACAAATAATGCTATGGATTAGTTTTTGGACATTTTTTGTGTTTTGTAATGTCTAATACATTTCTTTATATCATACCTGGGCCGCGATAACGTTCCATAACGGGTTCCAGACCGGGCCGTACTTTACGGTACGGCCCGGTCCGGAACCCGTTATCGAACGCTTCCATGGCTTCCATAAAACGATTCGAACGCGTTTCGTCCTAACCGCGTGCGCCCCTTTCGAAAATTCGAATACAGAATCCGGACATTGGAATTGATGCTGTTGCATTTTAGGGTTCAGCGGCACCAACTTTTGGCTCATCTTGCATTGAAAGGTGTGTTTTCTTGGGTGGATAAAATACAACACGGTGTATTCCGCATCGCCCTCGGTCCCGGCCCTCCCGCGAGTCGGATCGCCCTCCGGCCTGCGGGTGATCCGATCCGCGGTCGGGCCGATACCTCGGGCGATACGGAATACCCCGTGTTGTATTCTATATGTATACCCAAGGAGGTTCAATTTTAAACCTCCTTGGTATACCATATGTTTCGTTCCTAATGCCTGCAAACTGCCCCGCCTTGCCCTTTGTTGGGAATAGTGACCTTAGCATTAGGTACATGGAGCCTTTGAACACAAATCTCTTAATAACTTTTTGATGACTTTTCAGCAGCAAGGAGAAGGTGAACTGAAACAGTTTCTTTAGATACCTGATGGCTTCCCAGACGTCGTGGCTGTCCAGCGGCTTCGTCCCATTGGTGGAGCCGCCAGCGAGCCCCACCAGAGTAGGGAACCAATCAGAGATGTGGATCAGGGCGTCGCTGGTCCGGCCTTTTGCTTTGATCAGCGGGCTGTTCACAAAGCCGACTCCGTGGATCCCCCCTTCCCAGAGTGAGCCCTTCCATCCCCTCAGGGGCCAGTTGTTGCCTCCCATCAACACCTGCCCTCCATTGTCTGAAAAGCAAGGTTGGTGATGCTTTAGGACATTAGGAGTTAGGAGTAGCCTGGAATCCATTGTATTCTCTAGCTCCAGTTTGCTCCAAAGTTATCCCCTGGTACAAGCTATCAAATTATATATGATGCTAAACTTTATTCCAACAAAAGGGTACACAAGTACAAAATTTTCAAGGACCACTATCATCACGATTCGTCCGTCCATCCATCCATCCATCCATCCATCCATCCATCCATCCATCCATCCATCCATCCATCCATCCATCCATCCATCCATCCATCCATCCATCCATCCATCCATCCATCCATCCATCCATTCATTCATTCATTCATTCACACAGTGCTCCTAAGTCAAAAAGTTACATGTAGTCTGGAGCCCTGTCACCTGAAAGCTACATGTATTTTAGAACATGTGCCATACTCACCAGTAGAGAAGACGAGCACGGTGTTGTCCCACAGCCCGTACTGTTTTAAAGCGTCGGTGATGTTCCCGACTGCCTCGTCCATGACAGACGTCATGGCTGCGTAGACGCGCCTGTCCCTGTCCTTGATGTGTCTGTACATAGAGATGTACTTCTGCGGGGCCTGTAACGGGCCGTGGACCGCTTGGAACGGCAGGTACAGGAACATGGGCTGCAAGTAGGCAGGTGGGAAGTCAGTTAAATGTAGACATCCAGGTAGAACAGTACATAATACTGTACACAATTAAATCAAGCAGCTGGATAAATTCTCTGAAGAGTCGGATTTTTCAGATAGCATCCACTATCATTCACTGGAGACTGAGAATCAATCACATTCTCAGTCAAGTGCTGAAAGACAGTGAATTCTATCTAAAAAGTCTGAAGCACCTGTATTTAGCATAGAGCATTGACAGTACCTTGCAGGCTCTGCTACATACTAGTATACATTTTTGTACTTTAAGTCCTCAAAAGGAATCATAATCTGACTGCTATCTTGCAGAGTGTACGAGACAGTTTAAGTGTAATGAATGAATTGTGCCACACCTTGCTCTTGTCATGTTGTGCGATGATCTCTATGGCCTTGTTTGCAAACAGGTTTGTGGAGTAAGTTCCGTTCTGGTCCAGGACGGGCCTGTCCTGGTCCCGCAGGTCCAGCCCGTCCCACCCCTTCATGCTGCCCGGCGTCCTGTGGCTGTAGTAGTGTTCACTGCCTGTCAAAAAGCCTGCAGATGGAGAGAAAGGGAAGTAATCTCCATTACACAATTTTAGGTGCTATATGCCAAACATGTAAATAACGTTCTGTGGGCATGTGCCCAAGGATCCCCCATGCCAAATTTCAGGTCATTTATTTTTTGTATCAGCGCACAGGAGTCAGAAATGTACATTTTTGGTCAAAAATAGCAAAAAAGTCCCATTTTACATAATCTTAAAGTGACACATGCCAATAAGCATTTAGCTCACTGAAGAGCTACTCTTCCACTCTTCGTGACAGAGAGGACAGATCCTGTGTACTAAGTATTTACAGGTTTGTTGCACAGGGAAAATTCACCTTTTATTCAAGCACAATGAACAGTGGACCATGGCTACATCCTACTCTGACTGTGACCCTAAGTTTTAGTTTTTTTAATTCTTCAAACTCTGAACCATTTGGTCCAGAGGCAGGGTCACTAACCATTGGACTACCCAGGCTAATAGATGTACCAGGACTCAGGTTATTTGTAGTAATTGTCTTGTATATCATGTCAGGAGCCCAGGGGCTGACCCTGGGGCTTGACACAAGGACCAAGCAAGGTCAGGCTGGGTCAGCAAGCTTATATCCTTAGTCAAGCTATGCAAATATGTTGGTCTAATTTGTATATATACATAGTCCACGGCTCCACGCAATCCTGGGGTTAAACATCTGTTTCAATATCTTTAACACAGTAAAAGTGACAGTCTGACCATTGTTTGATATAACAAGTGGCATCATCTGTGTTTCAGTGGTACCAAACTCACAATAACAAGGTGGGCCAAAAAAACAAGAGTCCTACATTTTCAAATTTCGAGGTATGGGAGGTACAGGTATTGAAACCCAAGTTGCATGTGGATGTGGACCCCTGACAGTGTTAGCAAAAATAAAACCACTAAGAAAATTTATGTGACGGAAGCAGTGGATTGCTCATTCCTTGACAAGGACTCGAGTTGTACAGTAAAAAATTTGCTAGGTGCACAGAGTCCAATTTTTTTTTGTTAGCAATTACAGTTCAATCTTGTCCATACTGAGAAAATTTAATGATTTACTGTATATAAACTTAAGTTGAAATTTGTGCTGACCATAGAAGGTATCGAAGCCCCTGTGTGTGGGTGTGTACTCCTCCTTGTAGAAGCCCAGGTGCCACTTGCCCACAATGTGAGTGGAGTATCCGCTGTCCTTCAGCCGCTGGGGGAGAGTCACTTCATCCAGGGGGAGGCCGCTGGGCTGGGGAGGCCAGATGATGCTGTGCTGGAGACCAAAATGTATCTGAGGAGAAAAGAAGATACTAGTACATGTTTGTACTAGGATTGATTGATTGATTGATTGATTGATTGATTGACTGACTGACTGACTGACTGACTGACTGACTGACTGACTGACTGACTGACTGACTGACTGACTGACTGACTGACTGACTGACTGACTGACTGACTGACTGACTGACTGACTGACTGACTGACTGACTGACTGACTGACTGACTTGAGGGACCTCATACGAGGATGAACTGAACTAAACTGACTTCAGGAAACATACATAGAACCAAGCAAAAACTGTAATAATGTTCATTGTCAATTTTTTTCCAGATTTTTGATATATCTGCATGGTCACTATGAACAATATACTGATATGTCATGGTTTTAGCTGACCTGGTTGAAACGTGAGTTACAAGTGTAAGTTCAACTGTTCTGGGAACACTGTCTGGTGCTGATGGAAATTACAGCAGACACACAGGGGAAACAACTTTGAACTCTTAAACAAACTCAAGTGAGATATACTGCTCTCCTTACTCCTCTTACCCACATCAGACACTTTGCCAAGGCCACCTAAGTAGTTAATCTGCCAATATCCAAGGCTACTTCTTCTTTTAACCCAGCCCAGACCTTCCTTCTCATAAACTCTATCTATAGCTAGTGACATCTTAACTTGTTTTAATAGCAAACAGAGGTAAGGGCAGTTACCGAATTTGATTTATTCTTTCTCAGATTTGCCTGCTTCATTAAAAAAAAGAAGATAATATGCTACGGTTGAAGAAAGTCCTTAGTACTTATAGTTAGTATAAGATTGAAATTCATTGTTGGAAGGTATAAACCCAATAATGTTGACTTTGTGGCTTCTATGGTAGCATTTAATGGGGCTAATATTCACAGGATGCCTGGGCCTGTTTTTTTTTCTGCCCACCATGGCCAGCTTCATTGTTCTCCTATGAAAATCTAATAACCAACAATTCAAATTGATGTGGCCTCACCTTTAGCTTTATTCCTGCCAGATTGATGATTATCAAATAACCATGTTTAGAACACCACAAGGTCAGGGCTGTGACCTTGGTGACCTACCAGAAGTTTACTATTAGACCCTAAAATGACCTTATCAAAACCAGGAGAGTTATCGAAAGTGGGTATCTTTTCTGGGACAATGAAGCCAGTGTTGAAGTTTGGGGGTTTCGTGCAGGGCAGTTGGACACTGGAATTAAACTGTAGATGAAGTTTCTTATTAGTCTGGTAATATTGCAGTCAAGTCCAACCTTACATTGGACCTTGGTGCTCTTCTAACCCAAACAATTACAGTTTTCATCTCAGGAGGTTGATTTGCTTATGGTGTGTGTGTGTAGTGCCTTAGTTACCCAAACCTGCCACCTGCCCTTTTTTCTTACCTTCACGAAGGTTATGTTTTTTGGTGTGTGTGTATGTTTGTTTCTTTGCAAACAGCATAACATGAGAAGTTGTTGAAGGATCTTTATGATATTTGGCAGGTTGGCTGGTGTTGGCAAGATGAAAAGAAAAAGGTTATAGTCCCCTAGTGGCTTTGGTACTGTAGTGGGAAATACAGCTTTGAAATCCCAATCAAGATTTTTCAGTGCTATGTAGCTCTTGGGCTTGTGACAAAGTGGTATTGGTTTGGACTAACTAGCATCATCAATCCAGAAAGCATATGATACATTTAACATTTTTAAGGAAAAATGAAAAGGGATTGAGTAACAGTATATAAATCTTAAATTTATTTTTCAAGGATGTAAAATTCATTGAAGGACAAGCTGGACAACATATCCACACAACATGTAACACAACATAACAGAGTGACCTACAATGTCTACAATCCAGCCTAAGTGAAAGTAACACCTGTAATGAAGCACAGATCACAAGTGGGACCAGATGACACAAAGTCTCACATATCCAATCAGTACTTCCAGGGGCAAGGAAGGATTCACCTGCTTCTGTTTTGGCCACAACGAAGCATGACCAACCCTGTCTCCCCCACACAGCTCCAGGGTGGCACATGCTAACCTTTCTGTCAAGGGCACAGCTGCTTACAAGAGAGGTTTCCTCCCGTGTATCAAAGCAAACAAACCCCAATTTGCAAGACTCTGTTATATGCAACAACCATGCCTGAGAAAAGGAGACCCAACACTGTTAAAAAGCACTGTGCAATAGACACCACTGGATCTAAAGAAGAGAGTTTTATTAGTAACAGAACCCTGAATGTTCCTGTTTAAGTGATGGCCATGTCTAACCCAATTCTTAATCTTTTGATGGATCTGAAAAGCTGAAGGGGAGTTGGCAGGTTAGGGGCAGAAGAAGTAGGGCACATGGAAAGAAGTAAAAATTTCTGAGTTTCAAATGCAAAGAATTAAACTGCTTGGAAATGTTCCTAATATGACCATGTATCTTCATTGTGAACTTGTACATTTACTTGCATTACATCATCAGAAAGCATATAGCTAACAATCTGCATTTCCAATCTACAGACTTCTACAAGATTTAGTGCAAAGTGTTTGAAATACTCAAAGCATGCGCACTGATAAGTGTATCCTTCTACAATGTTGAATCTGTAAAGAACACTTCACTGCAGACCATATTGGCAAACAGATCGATTTCTTCAGCAACTGTTGACTGTTAAAAGTTACAGATTAGGTGAAGAAGTGGAGGTCTCCCTAATTGGGGCAAATCGTGCCCTCTCCTGGTTTATGTGTAGCAGGGGGCTTGTTGTACTGACATGTCTGGTTTCTAGCTCACAAATTCTGAGGATTGGAACATCTGGTAAACACCTATCTTTAAGCTGTAACACTTCAGAAACTGCAGTCCAGCAATTTTCTAAATAGGCTGAGCAGCAGGGTGGCTGCTGAGTCTGTGTTTTACCTGGTACCTCCCTGTCATCAGCTGGCTTCTGGACGGGGTACAGATGGGCTGGATGTAGTAGTTCTCCAGTTTTACACCTTCTGCTGCCAGTCTGTCAACAGAAAAAAAATATATGTAGGACACAGATCAAAGGGAGTCAATTATTACAAGTCAGAAGAAAAAGTTCACAAGAGCAGTGTTCCTCTTCTCCATTTGGCAAATTTAATAACCCCTTAGAAGTGCAAGTTTAAAGTGAAAGTAAGGAAGGACCGGACTTTGCTTTGAATTCCTTCCTCTTTGAAGATCATGTAGGTTCAAGGTCAGGGTAGCGGGTGACATCCCCTTTGGGAGGAGTGGACCTCTTCCTTGACTTCTGCTGACCATTTTAGTGGGGGTCACGAACAAGTCAAGACAAAGTAGACTAAACAGAAAAATTCTTGCACAGGTTCAACCTTCCTGTGACATTATACAACTAAGGTATCACAGTCAAGTTACGATATGTCTTTTACAGACCATGAGGATTGTGATGAAAACTCTGAGCTCCTTTTTTATTGAAATACAGATCACTTTTTCTACCAGTATCCTTGCTTTGACTTTGTTTATCTCCAATGTTTAGTACAGGATTCACACTTCAAAGAAACCTCTAGGAGAAGCCCGTTGAAGTGCCAGTGTAGCTTCTTTACAAACTTTGATCTGAGTCAGTTGAACTTGACCAACATCCACTGGTCTCTACCAGACAGGAAGTGCAGTCTTTTCCCTCACCTCCGACAGAAGGAACTCACAAAGGTTATCTCTCACTGCCATCGCGAGGTCCAAATATAAACTTGAACTTGACTGAAATGCCGAATGACGCTTCCGTTATTCAAGGGCACAGAAGGCTAAATCTGCACTCAAAGATCAAAGATCTGGCACCACTGCTGTAGTGTATGTGTTTGACACTGCTTGTCATCTGATAGGTTTTCTTGCCTGTCTACAACAGCATGCAATGTACACTGAAACAAAATAGGCTTGAATGACACACAGACTAATGCCTGAAAGCTATTGTACAGAGTAGCCAAAACAGCAGCAAAGGGAGCCTGGGAAATTAGTCTACAACAATAATGCTTGGTGGGAAGGCTGTATACAGTATACATTTGTACTCTCTGCCATTTAACTATAAAACAACCTACTAAGTATTCTGTTGAGCAATAAAACGAAACATCCATAATAATGGGGTCTTCTCCCTGAACATCTCCTTGGAGGCCATCCACTTTCAAATGTCCTTCCAACTTTTTTGGTGACATCTTATGATCTATGAAAAATGACTCTGACACACATAGTAGTCGAGTGGTTAGTGACTCTGGCTCTGGACCAAGACTTTGAGGTCCAAAAGTTTGAATCGGAAGTCACTCTCCCGAACATGCAGGCTATTGAAAAGAGTCACAGTCCTTAAGTCCTAGTCCACTGATCATTGTACTTGGGGAATTTCTCCAGCACCATGAACACGTAATAAAATAGTGTACATAGCATTTTTCTTCTCTGTGGTGACCAATGGACTAGACTAGTTTAAATGTTCATTGCGTTCACTAAATGCTCAATTTCATTGAGATCCCTTTCTTCTGGAGGCAAACACAGTGGTTGAAATCCTTTTTTTCAGTGCTCTGCAATATTGCAGAAGAGTCAAAATTTTGTTCTGCAATTTGGAAATACTTTCAGCAAATACACAAGCCTCCATACTACAACGTAACCTTCTCAAACCAATAATGCCTTTTTACACTTCTTCTGGAGGCATACATTCTGTACTGCTATGATGAAGATAAAGCGATCTCAGTCATGGAAGTGTGTCATTTCCCCAGCTGCGGTCGGCCCCTGGCTGGGAGGAAAACCCGCATTCCTGTCCTGCACAGTCGGCGTGTTGTACCGCTGACAGCGGCAGTTTTACATTAAACTAACCCCCCGGTCACGCCCCCTTACAGTAATGGCTTTTTAATGAGCTTGTCAATGCAGGGCGTGAGACATGGAGATAGACTCACAGACACTGAAACTGGTGTGTAAGAAATGTAGTGGAGAGAAAGACAACGCACTGCACGCAAGGCTTGATCTCGAAACAAACGGCAACGGCTATGAGAATAATTTGTGCAGCTACTAGCCTTGTGTGAGTCACTACCAACTTATACCAGAACTTGAAAAAATAACACAATTCTAGTCCAATGAATTCAAGGAATGAATAATCAACCATACTTGACAGTCCATTTCCGAAGAAAACTAAAAAAATCGTTAAGAGAGTTCATCAGATCCAACATTATTTATTGATAGTGTTGATACATCCTGTTCAACCGGTAAATTATGTTAACGTTACAACAACACGAAACCTACCTGTCCAAGTTAGGAGTGCGGATCACCGAGCCATGGTAGCCGATGTCGTTCCAACCGTAGTCGTCTGCCAGGATGAAGACTATGTTGGGCTTGCCGCTGGCGGACTGGGCAAAGGTTTTCCCTCCATTTGACACGCAAACAAGGAGCAGGAAGGCAAGGAAGAGCCGAGAACGGAGGAAACCCATCGAACACCAACTTGAGGAAGGCGCCATCGCTACTGACCTCTGACCTGTTTAAAGCCCTGCCGCATGTTAGCTATCGCGAGATTTTCCGAGAACACGTTCCTAGCCGAGCTACTTGATGTTATGTCAAATCAATACGCAGAAAAGTAATAAATGATGTAGAAAACATGAAAATTAAACCTTCTATTCAAATATATCTCAGAATAAGATACAGAATAAATTATGCTTGGATTCAGAATACTAGTATTAAGATGGAAATTTAATATAAAGATGAACGACATTCCAAAGTTTGGTACTATTTGACTGAGCGAATGGACATTCCGTCCGGAGTGAATAAGCTGTAAACAGTAACCATAGAAACGAGAACAGCTTCAGTTTCCAGCTGAGGAGTCATAAATAAAGTGACAGACCACTTCACAGACACAGAATATCCGGATCTACGTTGTTTTTCGACATCTAGTTGTGTTTAACGCGATCTGTTGACAAAATGAGTCTCATGGCAAGCATGGCGAAGTATGAGGGGCTAGAGAGTAACAAAGCCCAGCAAAGAATAACCCAGAGAATAAAGGTGAGTTTGTCGAATATTAACCAAACCGGACGCATTTATAACTCTTGGAACGTCAGTTGAACAAACATTTCAGATTCATTGGTTGGGTACTCTAGAAACACCAGTAACAACTATGCACACATAGTCTATCAACAGAACTAGTAACCAGCAACAGGTGGTCACAGGTAACGTTAGGTTCAACGATTTTAACACGTTAACATTTAACAGGTTTCTGGCTTATTTGCCCCATACGGATCACTCTTTGGGGCATTTTTGACGTTATTGGAGTTTTCAAGAACCTATATTGCTAGATTAAGTGCCCAAGGCTGTGTACAATAATGTGAATGGAGCCAGGCTTTTGTAATGTTTTTGTGTGAAGTTTAATTGTAACAACTTTGTGCTTTTTTTTGCAGAAAGACGAGATGTATGCCAGTCGTCAGAACACCGTCAGACAGTAAGTGCTTGATATTTATTAATATAAAGACACCCGTGCATATTTTGACAAGGATTTTAAAAAGCCCCTCACTCAGACCCCCCCCTCCATTATTCCTAAACGGACATTTTGATAAATCACTTTGATCAAGGAGGTTAGAGATACAGTCACTGAACAGTGCGGTTTTACAGTGCCCTTAAGGATTCCCGACCCAGGCTACGGACTGCGGACTAATGAGATGGGATTACGGCTTGGAAAATAAACAGGTTCGCCAGAACATGTCTGACGAAGGCAGCAGAGCACTACGACATGCCAGTGTCATCACTAACGTGATGTTGGGCATTATAGAGAAGAAGAAGATAAAATCATTTTCTGGGCCATATCCAAGTACATTGATTGGTCTATGCCAGCGATTATGTCACTAGATTCCTCGACTCATCATGTTTTCAACAGTGCTCATCTTAATGACATAAAAAAAATAAATTGATTCCAGGATTATCCTTGGGCCATGTGTTCGTGGTCGGATTCAATGTAAATCATGTTTGCAGGACACAGTTAGGCTCTGGAACATATTACAGGTACAAGGATTTCCCTGGATATGTTCAAAGGGTGCATCTTGTTTACATACCAGACATCACTTTGATCTTTTCCCCCAGTAAAAGGAAATTTCAAACCAACCTGGTCCAATTCATTTTTAATCATTTTAACAGGACACAGTTAGACCCTGGGACATATTAATAACTGCAGCACTGTCTAGAGTTAGAAGTTCAAGGGTTAGGTGTAACTAGTCGATTGGTGTAATATTGCCGGCTGCCGCCGTGCCGCGTGTCTGCGGAGCTGGTGTGTTGCGCCGAAAGGTGGTTATACCGGCGATACAGATACAAGGATTTTCCCTGTTTAAATGGTGCATCTTGTTTACACACCAGACATCACTTTGATATTTTTTTTCCCCAGTGAAAAGGAGACAAACCTTGTATCAGAGTGGTCCGAGGGTCTAGAGGAGGCCAGCGAGAAGAGAAGATACAAGGACGACCTTCTTAAGATGAAGGAAGAGGTTCGGCTGGCCAACAGGGCCATGGTGGCAGTAAGTGGCCAACATTGTCATGATTTCATCATTAGAATAGAGGTTTACAAAATGGAAGTTAGGTTTAGATCACAGCAACTGAATTTTATGGACGAGATACACTTGTGTAGTAATGTTTGCCTCAGATTTTGAAAAAAAAATTCCTTACTGTCCAAGGGAGGCTTTGTGGGTACAATTTTATGTCTTCCTAGTAGTACCAGTAACTGTAATACTCCTTACATGGATGAGGAGGAAGTAGAAAGAAGTCATGTTGTAAGTGTTGAAGAAGTGTCTTTATTGAGTGTTGAGGAAGTATGTTTCCTGAATTCCTTGACAGGTTCGGAGAGCAGCGTTGAAGAAGCTGATTGAGGAGGAGCACAGGGTGCATGAACAGGAGCTACACGCCATGGGGAAGGCTTTCTACATCAAGAGAACATGAACAGAGGAGGGGCTGATGTTAGGATGTCATAGGCGGTTAAGAGGGGGGAATGTCACAACAGAATTGCTCTTGAGGGATGGAGATAGCAATTTTACTGTTAATCTTGGAATATTATCGGTTTTATTTTCAGTTGTTATTTTCAGTGTTAATTCTTGACACCATTCATATGTTTTTAATGTATTATTACTGTACTATAGAATTGTTACCCTTCAATATTTGCAGAATTCTGTAACCCCTGAAAAGCCTGGTGGAGCCTTAGAAAATGCCAATTGTATAATGTTCTGGAATTGCGTACTCTAAGCTTGTATCATTGCTTCTCATGCTCCAAATATGGGCTAGCAACTTACATAGAGATGCAGGTTCTGTGTAGAAACAGTCTTTAGCATTTTGTCTACTGTAATATATCCTATTTAGTTCGAAAGAATCTTAAAAATACCTTCAAAACGTGTCTGGTTGTAACTGTTTTTCTTTTCAAGTATATCAATGTTGCAACAAGAAAAAAAATTACTTGTAATTTATAGATGTCAGGAATTCATGTTCTATAAGACTTCTGTACAAATTGAGACAATTATTAAAAATGCAACAGTTAAGACTGTGTGTTGAGCAACATCGTTCTTTATTACAAATGCTGAAATCCTTACAGTAATATGCATGATCTGAAGTCAAATTAGTAAAAAAATAAAAGTATCTTTCACAGCTATGCCACTAGCCCTCAAGTACAGTACAGTACATACATGCTATACTCTTTCTAAGACACACCACCAATTTGGTCCCATTCAAACAATACAATCACTACTTCCACAGTGTAAACAAGTCCAAGGCTTGGACATGATATCAATTCATTCTTGCCCTGGACTATTGGTCAGTGTAGTGCAGGCCATACTTGGTGCACTTAGGCTAACTTCTACCATTGGAATGGAATGAAGTATGTACAATGAATGGTGCACAGTTGACGGGGACAAGACTTTTCACATCATGATGTGTCAAACTACAAAGTACACAATATGTATTACATGTACCATCCTCCAATGCCAGACCCGACACTTGTATATGTCAGGCAACTACCCTGGCATACTGGCTTGAGATCCATCCTTCTTGCAGCCATAGTGCCAGCCAACTGTCAGCCAATCACGTTGCTGCCTTTGGTCAAGAGGCAACATGATTGGCTGCTGCCTTTCCCTCCAACAACAGGAGGAGGACTACCTGATTGGCTGACGGCTGGCCAATGCTAATGCAGCAAGAAAGGACAGTTTGCAGGCTCCAATGCCAGGGCCTTTGCTTGATACATGCAATCTGTGGGCCTGGCATGACAGGATAACTACATACATGTCCTCGGCAGTGTCGATAGCTGGAACGGAATACATGTACTTCTTACTGAGGCACAACCGCAAGATCAGGAAATTACAGTGTACCATGCTCACTGTAGTACTGTCATATACAACCCACTTAACAGTCAAAGGCAGCAATTCATGGAAAATACAGTCAAAGACAGCCATAGAAAATACAGGCACACATGCATGGCAGATCATTATACATGTACATGTACATTCCTCACACTATTGCTTACGGAGAAATTACGAGTCTCATATAACTGTTTAAAATGGCAGATAAAAACAGCTGTCCTTACATAATTAAAGGCATCTCATGTAACTGCAGACTTGTCCTAAAACACAACAAAGAGCCTTTGCGATATAATAAAGCTTTATCTAAAGTAGTAAAAGCAACTTGTGCAATGGATGAGAAATTGTGTACTGCATGAAACATTCTTTTCTGAAGCTTAGTCTATATGGAAGAGTTCTTTCTTATGAACAATAAGCTTTGCTCCTGAAATGTTTTAATAGTACCTAAGGAAACACCTGTGGTAGGAAGTCTTGCTTACAATGTTTATATATCATTATCCAGAGTTATGCAGTCACAGTGTTACCATGGTGCCATCTAGAGGACATGTTAAGAACTGCAGGTGTTAGACATAAAAGACCCTCTGACAATTTTCAAATACTAAATACCAGTGTTAAAATAGCTCCTTCTTTTCTGACTATAATGTTATGCATAATCTATTCTTATTGGTAGCTATCCATGTCTTCTACATCTGAATATAATGATAAACTGTATAAAACCATGTTGCATAATGCTATATTCTTTCTAACAAACGTTGGTCAAGTTAAGTACACAGGCATGTATAAGTCAAAAGGATCTATACAGTCATTCTTGTACAGTCAAATGATTATTTGGTGAGTCCATATTATGTGTTGGAACAAAATAAAATTCTTTTGCTAAAATTCTAATACTACGTTCCAGCACAAAACAATTCAAACAATTTCAATCGAACAATTTTATACTGATGTCATTACTAATGTATGGTGTACGTGCTCTGGCCATGTCTCTGGTTTTTACATGTCATATCAATGTGGATTTGCCAGGCATGGATTTAAAAATTTTTTTATCACATGATCACGTTTATATCTACAAACGTGTTCAATGAAACTTGCCATCACCAGCAGTTCAAATCATTCTTGTTTACATACTAACCCTACATCATAAATTGTTAATTTCTTAATGAATGACACCCTCCACAACCCCAAAATCCTTGATATGTATGAGTTAAAAGAAAATGGTGTACTGTGATGACTGTAGTTGAATTGGTTTAGCCTAAAAACTACCTGGCAGCTATCTTCATCAATGGGACATCGTCAACCATCAAAAAGTCTATCTACATGTTTATCTGTATAGCCGGTGTAATTGCCATTCCGCACGACACACCACTTCGAAGGCACGTGGCGCAGCGGCAGCCGACTATACTACCTCAAATGACCGGTTACACCTAGACTTTGCACATCTTACTGTCAATGTTGTTTACATCTAGTGAGGATGCCCCTACTGTGTAAGTTCCACTCTATGAGTCCATGAACAGTGTAGGCTATGATATGCAAAATTTAACAGCTGTACTGGTATAAAAAAGGTTGTTCCAAGTATAAAATTGCATTGCACTAAATATCTTACAGTTTGTGAATAAAAACAAAAATTCCAAACTTCAGCATTCTATGCATGTTTGTCAGCATCACATTTGCGATCCTGCACTGGAACTGTTAAGTCCCAAAGGTTAAGCCAGTGTTTGCTTAAACAATCGACTGTAATCATAGTAAAGAATCTGCCTATAATACAAAAGTCCATACAATTTCATCATATTACAAACAAAAGGTTAAAATTAATCATATTTACACTTTTTATACAATATTTCACAATGCACCAGCCATCTGACTGGGCATGAAGGTCTGATCCGTTATGGCAATGAAAAGACACAGCAGCACAATGTTTCATTCATCCATAAAAAAGACATCACTTAGTGGTCACTGAGCACTTACACAGACATTTACAGTAACAAAGCATCGGTGAAAAAACAAACAAAACAAACAAAACTTTTAAAACAGGAACAATCATACATGTACAATGTCAACATGTATGGCAGTGAGGTGCTGTCATGGAAATATAAAACTCTCTCATCACAGGCTTGCTTGGCGCTGCATTCTTGTCTTCAGCATCATCTAAATGTGCCCTTGTCACCAAGTTTGTTTCCACACTATTATCCAACGAATGGAATGTTTTCCAATGAATGGAATGTTTTCCAACGAATGGAATGTTGCAGTCAATGCATTGGTAAGTTAACCTTCAGCCTCCTAAGGTAACCAGTACCGGTTACTGTACTGGGTAACAGGGAGGTTAAGATAGTGCCACAGCCTTTTCCCAGGCCTGAGGGGCAGTGGGCTGGTCTCCACTGTGTCGAGGGCACCGTATTGGAAGGTGGAGCCCATCCCTCTCCTTCCACTGCCTTTTACCTCGCCTAGGCAAGTCAGGTACCCTTGGGGTAGCAGGGAGAACTGGTTATGCAATCTGATTACGAAATCCGACTGGAATGTTGCAAGTGTGGTAGACTCTCCAGGCAGATTTTAATGGGGTAGATCCTTGCCTTGTCGTGATTGCCCCACTTTCTGACATCTAGTAGTGCAGGCAGCACTGAGGATGATATTTTGCACGTGGTATTATACCTTAAGCATTTATTCTTCTGAAAAATTCCAGGCAAAATTGTAATGCGCTAGCAGTAATTGAAAAAATATAACAAATATTGTCCTTAAGAATCCAAATCAAAACTTAATGTTTTGTGAGTGGTGTGACGTTTCCGCTCAGGCCTCTGAATCATTTGGCATGTCTAAGGTAATGCTGTGCATACTGTCTGAAGACACCAGGCCTTTCGATTGACCTCTGTTAGGTAACGGACTCCCATCATTGTCCAGCGATGCCACCATGGCTTCCAACTCGTCCAACTTACTGTTGTCTAACGGCTTAAGGCTTTCTCTCACCACCTGTGGGCTGTCGTCCGCTCTCTTTAAGCTTCTATTCAGTTCCCTCATCAGAGCTTGCTGCTCGGGAATCTTGTTGTTTGAGGCATTGAAGTTTTTGTCTGCATCAGTGTTTGGGAGTGGGATGTCCTCGTCCTCATCTATGGTCTCTTGCGTGGTGCCGTTCGGCCTCTGCCACTTCACTTTCGCGTCCGTTCCGTCCGCTTCTGACCTGCTCAGCAGACGCTTGATACTCCACCTGGGGCCTTTAGGAAAATACTTCCTGTCCGAGGACTTGTTGTGCGGCTTCTCTTCCACATTGTTGTCTGGCGTGTCGCAAGGCACCATTTTGTTCTTCCTCCATATCAGAAACAGACCTAAGCAAATCGCTAACAGAATCAGGACCATCAGTGTGACGGCAATCCCCTTCCAAGCAGTGGAAGCTGCCTGCACGTTCCGAGCGGCAGGCTTGGACACGGGGATGTCGTCAAACGTCAGACAGCAGGCCTGCTGGCTGGGGTCCTCGGGCTGCGTCCCGAGAGGCGCCCTGACCTGGCAGGCCCTGGGGAGCAGCCGGTTGAAGCTCTCGACCGTCATCTTGGCGCTGCAGTTGTGCAGGACGTTCTGTGTTGACTCCAGCAGGCAGCAGGCCTTCTGTTGCTGGGCCAGCATGTTCACGCACATGTCGCTCTCCAGGGTGCAGCGCGCAGAGTTCTCCTCCACCTGGATGTTGATCTTGTGGACGGTCGTCATCTCACAGCCGTTCTCCTTCCTCACACAGGTGATCTCACCTGTGGTCTCCACCTGGGAGCAAGACAGGTATAAGATGATTCTAGATTAGTGAGTGAGTCAGTGTACATGAACTTGAAAAGAGGGGATGTTGTTGAATTTTTTTTTCCATTTGCTTTCCCACATTTGCAACATTGCTGATGATGATGATGATGACTGGTTTATTTGCAACACGTGCTCAGACATACCATTGCAGCCTTATCTGGCTGAATTAGGGCATGATACAAACATTACAGTCTGTAACTTGTGACTTGCAGTTTGCAACCATCTCTCAAAACTTTGCAACCCATGTGTCTCACACATTATGTGGGAGAGACACTCAATCACAGTCATACAGCCATAACCCATACTGTATGACATCAGGATTCAGAGGAAACCGAGGCAACAGAGAGAGAGAGACACAAAAACAGACGTAAATCTCCTCACTACTACTACTACATACAAATCATATAATATTAATAATATTATTATTACAGCTTATTAAGAACCTTTTCAATTCCTTATGTCATCATTGTAATGTAATAATGTAATTGTATACATGTTTTTTAACTTGTTATCATGTTGATCATGTAATATAGATATAGATTTGTTATCATGTTGATCATGTAATATAGATCATGCTTAAAATGCACAAAATCAGCCTCTTTGTATACAAATGAAGCTGCCATGTATCTTAATATGTAAAATGAACGAAGTCAATAAACAACTACTACACACCTGTCTGAGGATGATATAACTGTCCTTCCTGACTGCCCTGCTCAGTAGGCTCTCCGGTCGGGCTGACCACCTGACGTTAGTGATGTCCACCGTGTCGTCCGGACTGCAGGCCACGTACAGGTCTGACCCATGGGACACGTTGTGCTGAGGTCGCGGGGAGTTACCGTTCCCTGCAGCAAACACAAACATAGCCGCACAGTTATAGATCTGCTGCAAGTGGAGGAAACACATACTGGATAGTAATGGTGGAGGCTGAACTAGGTCCTGGAAAAAATAACCTACAGAGGCAAGAATCCTTTTGAAACCTGTAATGTTTGTCAAGTTTTTTTTTTTAGATTTTGAGAGTGGGGTTTTGTTTGATGGGAGAATGGAAGAGCACTGTTTAATATTAGAACCCACCAAAACCTTGCCTTAAGGCATTAAACCGTTCTATGTAGAATGATTGATGACACCTCATTTCACACCAGTTTAGCATGAATATTATACTCAAGCAAATCTACAGGACTATGTATGTCACCCATGTTTGGATCACTTAGTCTACAAGCATCCCAACACCTTAAGCAAGCCAAAATAAAAATTATCTACAAAATCACTACAGACCCAAGTTTCTAAGGGTACACCATGGTTCATGGGATGGGGACAGGTAAGTGCAAAGTAAGTAGTAGTAGGATGCAATAAGAAATCTGCTTTGGTAGAATGATAGCAAGAACATACATGTACATGTAAGCAACAACATGCCATTACAACAACACTACAGACCAGCAAGACCAAAAAAAGATGCCAAAATGATGCATACTTTAGAAAAAAGCGCACAGCATATCAGAAAGTGGAAACTGTCTGGGTCAACAGTAAGGATGGTGAAAAACTGTTATAAGGGTTACAAGAAGTTGAGAAAAAAAAAGTCATGCGATTCTGCTAGGGCTAGTTTGCAGACATAAAAAGTTGCAGATGTAGTCAACAGAAAGAGAGGTAGAATTTCATTTACCAGCATCAATGTAAGTCGATTCACAGTTCAAGCTGTGCATGCAAAAGGTCAAAGGTGAAGACCTCTAACCTGTAAACATGCTTTAATACATGTCCAGAGCACGTCGGCAGAACGTAGTGCACCTGCGCAGAACCCCGTATTTTCGCGTTTTTCGTCGGGTTTTTGGTCAACGTTGCATCAGAATTTTGCCTGTTGCAGAGGATATTCTTTCCGACATAACATTTGGAAACTACTGTCGAAATGCTAACCTTATATGAGCGAATACAACCTTATATGAGACATTCTGCCGAAATGCTATGGACAATACATTACGGGTTTCGCGCAGGTGCAGTACGTTCTGCCGACGTGCTCATGTCCAGATGTGTTTTATTTGTGACTCAGGGACCTTCGACTTCGACATATCATGCACAGGTTGAACTGTGAACTGGCTCATTACTTTATCCAGGACTGTATCCTAGTAAAGTACAGAGATGCTGGGAAAAGTAACATCACATATCATGTCAAGAAATCTCAGTTTCGTTCACAGCATAAAATACAGCAAGGACATCAGACAAACCTCTCCAACGTCGCCTTTTTGATCCTGAGCCGGCTAAAAATTTGGAAATTCAGAAGACTTAATTAGAAATTGGCAATTTAATTAGTAATCACAGTCATGTAACACTGCTGTAGAGTACATGTACATACATGTATGATCACAACACTGAAGAAACTGTATAACATTTGAGGTAGAACAATACCATAGAGGGATACTAGAGAACAGAAACATGTAAGGCAGCCTTTCCAAAACATGATGTAGAGAAATATCTAGTACCTACATGTACGTGCATTTTTCTTCTCTTGGGTATGAAATTATATATATTACTAATAAACATCTTACCGGTAATCAAAAACTACTCTACATTGTAGACACATGATCGCTACATCATGATGCTCTCTTGTTCAGCCCTACTACCATCATGCTACATTTCTTATATTTCAAATTGTTTGGCAACAGATGAATCCAGTCAGTGCCTAATGGTTTTGGGAGTTTCAGAGGAGAAAATGAATAAAAAGGGAAATAGTCCTAGTCAAGGCAAACATACCTTCACATCTGCATCCTTGGTTTAGAGCATCTCCACTGAGAACATCCTGCAGTAATGACTGGTCACTGTTCCTGTACAGAAACAGTCAATTTGTTAATAAAACACCTCAGTGTTCGAAATACCTATCTGCAGTCTGCAATCTGCAGATAGATTTTCAAGATTGCAGAAGAAAAATTTATACAATCTGCAATTTTGCAGTTGGAAAAATTGGCACTTGGGATTTGGCGCTCTTGGCCCAAAGGACAGACAACACTTAAGCTCCTGTTCTGAAACAACAGGAGCTTCTTCACTAATTTGCATCAACCTTGTCTTGACTTGTCTATCTTTTGTTTCTTTTTGGACTTACAAAAATTTGTCGTCACTAATTTGCATATCAATCAATAGTTCATGCTTATAAACCTACAAGATTGTAGTATGGAGGCTTGTGTATTTGCAGAAAGTATTTCCAAATTGCAGAACAAAATTTTGACTCTTTTGCAATATTGCAGAGCACTGAAAAAAAGTATTTCGACCACTGCACCTTCAGTTTGTACATGACGTAATCATACATGTCAACTGCTGTGCCATACTAAAGCGCAGAATAATACTGCCACAAATATGGCTGGAAGAGACAGGGATGGAACCACAAGTCCTGTGAGGAAATACATGTAGAGTGCCTTTCCCATTTTGGCACAACAATGGGGTCTGTTAGGGATTTGAACCCAGAACCTTAAAGTTTCATTCCAAGTAAATGACCCTTGCCACAAGACCACCTTGACACCATATTTTCATTCAGTTAGAGAACTTATAATAATTTCAGATACAGCAGAAGAGAACAAGAAATAGCCACGCATTCAAGTATCAGAGTTATCAACCAAGGATTGAGGTGTTCAAGAATTCATTCTTTCCTAGAACTATCGCAGAGTGGAACTCACTGTCACCAAGTACAGTAGGGGCACTGTCAATAGATAGCTTTAAACAATGTCTAGAGCTAGAAGTTCAAGGGTTAGGTGTAACAAGTCGATCGGTGTAATATAGCCAGCTGCCGCCGCGCCGCGTGCCTGCGAAGCTGGTGTGTTACGCCGAAAGGCGGTTATACCGGCTATACAGATACAGATACAGATAATTAACTATTAACATTTGTATGTTCATAAAGATACTTACATGTCGACAGCTGTGCACTTGGCCTGTGCCCTACTCCAGCCACAGTAAGGGTCCCTGGCCGACACACAGGCCACACAGGACGTGTACACTCCACAGTTGTGCAGGGGCAGCATTCTCACACCCGAGTTAGAGCCGATGTAGATAGCTTTCTGAAATTGGGTTCAAGAAATAATGTTGAATTGATACTTTAACATTATTAAGATAAGGATTGTATCTAAAACAGGGAAAGCATTCAATGACATGAACACAACTTTTGAATTTAAATAATGTTTACTGGGTCACACTTTACTGAGTTGGGCTCGAATAATGCTTCCTAATGTGAACATGAAGCTCCACTCCAGTGTCTATTTTTAAGAAAGAGCGTCTTGAGGTCTGACTTGAGGTCTGTCAATCCCAATGTCTAGTGTTTACTGGGTCAGTTATAACTGGAAGACGTAACAGGTAAAATGATCAAAATCGAATACAAATAATTTTTTTCATACCACAAGACATCTTCTTGGATGTCCACCACAAGACATATATACAGGGTAACATACCTTCTCTTTAGACAGCTTCAATGTTGTTATTTTCTCCTGGCTTGCCTGTGTGAAAGGAAAGACCTTTTTAAGTCATAAAAAGTACAACTTTAGTCAAACTTAAGAACTTTTTCACCATCTTCTTAACCAGGATAATTCCATGGAGGCACAGTTCTTCTTCAAGCGATGTTGGGTATACTCCTTTGCCTGTTCCCAATAGGTATGCCATTTAAGGCTGTTTTGAATGTTATATAGTGGGGTACATGTGCATAAGTTACAAACCGGGAAGACGTTGATCTGCTGAATGAGCTTGGCACTCCTGGGCGTGCTGGGGTTGTTCAACACCTGCTCCACTGCCTTGTAAAGGGTACCATTGTCTGCAACAGACAACAAGTATTGTAGGCAACAGTTCCTTTGCTGTTTATGTTACATGTACTTCAACCATAATTTTTATCTGCGTGGTTCAGGTCATGGAAGTTTTTGTATATTCAATTTAAGTCAAAGCAGTTTTTGTATGCATGTATGACATATGTATGTATATGTGAGTATGTATGTATACTGGGTATATATATTTTGTGTGTGTGTGTGTGTGTGTGCATTTACCACACAAACATTGTTGCAGGTTTAAAACAAGCTGTAAATTGTCCAAAACAAAACCTTACAACATGCCACCCAAATAAAAGAAAAAAACAGAGAAATAAACCAATTAACAGGCTCATCTCCACCCCCACCTGTCCCGATGAATAGGACATTGAAGATCCCGTTGGACGTGCTAGTCTGGTGCACGACCAGCTGGGTGAAGCGGACGCCCAGTTTGCTGAGCAGGGGCTGGCCGTTCTGCTCTGGGAGCTGTGTCAGTGCTGGGTCAATCAGCGGCGTGGACTTGGCAAACTTGTAGGTGTCCTCGTATTGGTCACAGGACCGGTTACAGCTCAGACACTGGGGAGTGGGAAAGAACTTGATTTATGAAAGCTTTATAAACAGATATACAGTCAGGTACGGTTACAGCTCAGACACTGGGGAGATTAAAAGGATGGGAGATGGTGAGTTCTGGACTTGGCAAACTTGTAGGTGTCCTCATATTGGTCACAGCTCCGGTTACAGCTCAGGCACTGGGGAGGAGATTGGGAGATGGTATGAGTTGGAGCAGTCAAACTTGCATAGGTGACATTCCCCTAGCTCTTTTTGACAAGCACAATGAAAAGTGGACCACAGCTTAACGTCCCGTCCTTAGGACTACAACCCTAAACAGTAGCGTGCATGTCGGGTGAGCGACAACACCCGGGATTCGAACTCCCAACCTCTTAGTCCAAAGGCAGGATCGCTAACCACTGGACTATGTACGCTACTTGTATAGATGTAGGATGATGCAGATGTGTAAGAGTGGTACTATGGACTCCAGAGGCAAAAAGGAGGATTGGTCATCCAATTACAACACTTCAAGGGTCTTATCAAGTCTGACACTGGTCTACAAGGAGTGGAACTTTTGTCTGCTATGAAAGACAGAAAGTACTGGCGACAAAACTTCACATGCTGCACCTCAGAAGAGGACGAGTAAAGAAGAAAGAAGAAGAAGAGCGGTACCTTTCCCGGGCGAGGGTCTGGCACCTCACTCTGCATGACCCTGGTCCAGGCCAGCGAGTCCACCATCTTCCTCTTGAACTGTCCCATGGAGAACAGCTGTCTGATCTGGGAGATGCTGTACACACACACAGCCGACGACAGCACGCTGTTCCTGTGGAAACAAACAAAAACTGCGGTAAATCCGCGCTTAGCCAGCATGAACTCAAAGCGGGACATAGGGTCACAAATGGCCCTATCTTGGACATTGTTAAGATCATAGACCAGGAATCCCGGAAGTCACATAGAAAGATTAAGGAAGCGGTCCACATCCAGTTGGAATGTGCCAGGATGAATCGCAATGAAGGTTGGGAGCTGCCCAAGTCCTACCTACCCCTACTCCGCAAGGAGGCGGGGGAGGTCAGAAGATCCACACAAGTCTCGACCTAGTCTCGTGTTCTCGCGAGACTAGGTCACTCCGTGAGCAAGATGTACAGTGGACATAAAAAATTTGGAGGTACGTGTTTCTACCTGTCAAAAAGAGGCACTGATTGAGGAATATTCTACTAACCAAACAGAAACTTCTTTTAAAAAAGGCCCCAAAAGCACGTTGGCAGAACATGCCGCACCTGCACTATGGCAGAAAGTTTCATAATAAGGTCGCATTTGCGTATAAAAGGTTAACGGCCCGTCTGTAGTTTCTAAATTTTACGTCAGAAAAGATGTTGCCTGCAACAGGGCAAAATTCTGATGCAACGTTGACCAAATATCCAATGAAAACCGCGACAAACCAAGTCAATTGCATTTCTATGTTGTTACCGGTAGATGCAGTAAACACAGACATCTGAGGACAACACACTGTAAAAGATTAGGAATGCTGCTATGCTTCACAGACAAATGAATAATCATTACTCACTCTGGTGTTGTGAAGACTCCATAGATTATTTCTTGGCCAGATTCGTCAAAAACAAATGTGCCTTCTGCAGAAAAAAATCATACAAACGTTATACCAGGTAACATTCGTTTTGATATATGCATATTCATGGCTTAGTGCCATCAGTTGTAGCTGAATGCATAACCTAAACATGGATTCATAGACTTCTACATTGGTTTTAAAAGAATACCTTCTTAATTAAGGTATAAAATTTTGGTTAAAAACATTTTGACACTTCAACACAAACACTGCTAAAAAAATTAATCTGATTTAGCTTTTTTCTTCACTCTTGTTCTTTTTCTAAGATAAACACTAGGTGAAAAACTGTCCACCTACGTATTTCATCAAAGTAGAACGGCACGTTTCCGGGAATGGAACAGTCGATCCTGGCCTTCAGGAACGTGGTGAAATACCCGCCCAGGTAGTGGGTCGTTCCTCCCTGGTCATTCTGCAACCAAGGAAATTAGAATGATATAAAATTGATTGTCATGAAAGTTCATCTGTGTTGGTAGTAATCATAGTAAAACGTTAAACTTTATTCCAACACACTATTTACAGGGATCAAAATTTTCTAGCGACCACTGTCGCCTTCATCAGGATAATTAATGACCATTAATAATTGGTCATTAATTATCCTGATGACGGCGACAGTGGTCGCTGAAAATTTGATCCCTGTAAATAGTGTGTTGGAATAAAGTTTAACGTTTTACTAAAATTGATTGTAACTGGAAAGATTTGAACTGGTACTCACAACTTAGTATGGTAAAAGTGTAGAAGCTTGCAATCTTTCTTCAGCTACTGATATTAAGGGTAGTCACGTGACCAAGAGGCTAAAAGGCCAGCATAGGCCACGTGCCTGGATGAGAGTGTTGTACATGGGGATATAGAAGTGATCTTGATCCAGTTGAGCTCACATGAACTGTGCGATCAGTCAAACAGTCAAACAAACAAACAAACAAACAAACAAACAAACAAACAAACAATCATGAAAGTTCATCTGTGTTGGTAGTTTAAAGTTTAAAGTTAAAACTTTTGTTCAACACCCCT